TTCCCTGACCATCAGCATACAGAGGGTATACAGTTATCAAGTAACACTTGAATGGCTTTATATCACCTAATAAAAGGAATTGAAAATGTTTTGTTTCACAGACAGCCAAATTCCTCACCATCCTTCTCATTTACTTCAGAAACAGGGTTCTGGGGTCTGGCTTTTTTATTAGATGCACCTGTTTCTAAGGCAGCTGATATTTTTTACAGAGCTCACTGATAAACTGCTCCAAAACATTGACTAAAGGAACAATATAATGGTTCACATTCAAATGTTAAATTTAATGAACAGACTTCATAGAAATCTTTTTTCTAATTTATTTTAAATAAAAAGGCTTTATCTGTCTGCAGCACTGAACCCAAAAATTATTTGAGCTACTGATCATAATCTGAAGAGAACAGTAAAGCTGATCAAGTTTCATTGTTTGAACTGAAAGAGGGATCAGAGAACTTGATTGAAAGAACTCAGCCCTTTCGCTATTTTAATGGTTTCCAAGAACAAGACGACTAAAACCAAAATGCAGATAAACCCCTTGCTGTTACATAACATAAATTTCAAAATGCAAGATTAGATACAGTTTTATATTTGACACAAATATACACATACTTCCACACTTATGATAAACTGAAAGAAGCCCTCAGCCTTATCCTACATTCCTGTCCTACAATAAGATTCTAGTCAGCGTGAGGATTTTCCTCACTTTGAGAATAATTATTAGGTTTTTAGAGTCTTCTACAAAGTATTTGTAGACATGAGCTGAATACCTTTTAAGTATGTTCCTTGAACATTTCCTGGTTCATTCTGCCATTCTATGATGCAGTCTGAGCTGTTGGACACCAGACACCATTCAATCACATATTTAAGAACATAACTGCTAGGAGCAGTCCACCCTACCCACAACTTGCCATCTTTAGGTAGTGTTCTAACATTCTTCACAGGAGCTGTGATAAAAGAAAACAGAAAAGTGACAAATAATGACAGTTTTTCCACTAGATATTACCAATAATAGCTATTTTGTCAAATGTGGATACTTTTGGGTTATTGTAATGGTGACAATTTGACAGAACCTAAGTAAACGTAAAAGCCACTTTCTGAAATTTGGAACCTTATATTTGAATCTTTGTATCAGAGATCAAAAATAAGCACTGTTGGGTTACTTAAAAACTGGAAATTAGACTCAGCTTGTCTGTTCTCAAACACAAGGTACCTTATTGCACAGGAAAGATATTGTGTTTCTTCTAAAAGAACAGGTCTATTTCAGAGAGAAATTCCCATTCTAATCCTCATACTTGTGTACATTACCAAGAACTGGCTGCAATGCTACTCTGTTTGAAACACATCCTTAATTACTTCATCTAACAGGTTTAGAACCTGTGGCTCTCCCTCGCTGTTTACACTAAAAGCAGCACCTGCCCGTACACTTATTTTTCGCTCCCTGTCCTGGTAGTGATCAGATTGTCTAAGAGGAGGCTGGAAGTAAGGAGAAACCAGCCTGTAATTACTACTACTGCACAATCAAAGGAACATAATAAAATTGAACATGAACAGTAGGGAAACAATGGAAGCAGATGACAAAAGAGTCAGGCAAGATACTGAAAATGTGGGAGAGTGAGACTGGGACAAACTAAGAAAGGGGCAGGCGAGGGATCAGAAAGTAGAAGGAAGAACAACAACAGTGAGATGGTATATATATGAAGTAAAGGATGTTTGCTTCCCCAACCCATTGATTTTTTAAAAAGAAAACCGCCTGATATACTAACAAAAGAAATAGGCAATATAATGAACAGTAGCTCCAAGGATCAGTGAGACAGCTAAATAGCACACATAGCTTGAAATGAACCTGTAAGTACATATATCTGCACACGCCCTAGTATACGAATGGTAGCATAATTGTAAGTTGTAAGACAGTAGATACATTCAGCAGTACTTCAACTATGTGTCCATGTAAAAGGTATCATTTTACAGCACTGAAGATTTCTTATAACAAAAGCCATGCAGATGTTTGAAAGAGATATTACTAGGACACTAACCTTTTGAATTACTCGCTGGGATAAGTAAAACCGATGGAGGGGATGCCCCAACTCTGTTACGGGCAATCACAGTCACTTCGTAAGTTCCATTTGGCAGCTTTAATGTAAGGTTGGTAGTACTAACATTGTATTTCTCTGGTGGACTAGTGAGAGATGATTTAGCTCTGACAGTCACTTCATACTGCAGGATTACTCCATTGGCTTCAAATGGCTCCAATGCCTGTTAGAAACAAATCTTTGATTATACTGATACTGAACAAACATGACTTAGCCTTTATTGTCTTTGATGCATAATTTAAAAACCTGAGAGCAAGACAAGTTACATAGATCATAGGGCTGCATATTTAAGTGCAAATAACCTGCATTCACTTCTGTAAAGCAGTAACTTCCAGAACTATTTCTGGTTTAAATCCTCTTTTTCTTGGCTCACAATCCTAACTAGTAGTTTAATAAAAGCTATTCTGTAAAGATTGCAGAACATGTGTTGATAAAACATGCATTTTCGGTGACTTTACAACACTATGACATAAAAGGAATCTCTCTTAAGCTGCATCGAACCCGAATGCAAAACAGCCCCAGCAGTTTTCTTTTACTACACATTGAAAAATACTTGTTTCAGTGTTACCTAGGAACACAGAAGTATTATGTTTCTGTGTAACAGTGTTAAGTTTCAGGTAACTTAAGAGAAAGTTACTGAAACTGTAAAGTTGCACCAGTTTTCCAATTCTAAGCTAAATAATGTCAGAAGCGGCATGTGGCATATGACTTACATCAGAAAATGATGCCATATCAATATACATGTAATTTCACAGAAGCCATCTAGTAATAGAGAAAAAGTAATAATAAATAAAAAACCAGCTAGATCAAATGTGAAGAAGTTTAAACCAAAAGCAAGCAGGAGATGGGGACTGGCCATAATCACGTTCACTTTCTCAGCTTTGGACTAACCAGCCAACTAGACACAGCAGCCTACTGCATGTAAACGTGCAGTGCCGTATTTAATAAGTTTAGCCTCTGAAATGTCTCTAGGCTTAATGCATTTTGCAGCTGAAGCATCCCTGTCCAGACAGCGTTACAAAAGTTTTAGAATACAGCAGAAGAGTAACATGAAGGTTTACTTTGTTCAAGTGTGAGCTTCCTATGCCACAGACTGCTTGAGGACAGCAAGTCAGGAATCTGAAAGGGGATTCTGTATACTCTGGATCACAAGCGTGTGTCAGTTAACTGGTGGCACTTACATCTGTACTTTTAATTTTTCATAACTAATTATTATAGTAAGAATACTAAAGTCACTTCTCATATCTATAAAACCTCTATTATCCCAGCTATCTACTCAAGTTTGTTGAAGTAAATTTTCCCACTTAAAAGCTCATGTTTGTAAAAGAATGCTCAATTCCTCCTGCTTATCATGTTGCTTTACCTTCCACATCAGATGCACAGTCCAGGAAGCTGGTGAGTGACGTGCATCAATGATCCTCCATATGGGTGGTCCTTTAGATGGTTCTGATGAAAGGAAACAATGCTTCATAGTAGAAATATTTTTTACTTAATCTATTTGAATTCATCCTTTGACTACCATTAGACTTTTTTTTTTTTTTAAAATAAAAGCATACACAAAAGTGTTTCATTAGTTCCTCAACAAAAAAAAAAACGCTTGGCACGTTAAGTGGAACACTTGCATGGAAAGATTTCATGAAGGGACGAGCAAAACAGCAGTTCCGCTCTAAGGTTACAGTATCAAAATAACTGAGAGTCACCACGAGGAGCATCTGCAACAACAGGCTGAAAACGACAGTGCCGAGTGAGGCATGACCAAACCTACACCATGTAGTCTGTAACAGGCACATCATGCAGCCCCACACATCTGTATATAGCAAACTGTGCTATGGTCTGTAGCTGCAAAACTCTCCCTACCCCTCAATATCAAGTCACTTAAAAAAGGAAAGTGCAGATAAGTTAATGAGTAGCCAAATTTCTCCTGACAGAATTCCCCAAGTTTCCTATACCCGTTACGCTAAAAAGGGTAACAGAACTGCACTACTTCTGTGCAATACTACAATACTTTCTGGCACCAGTACTGATAAAAAAAAAAATCAAGCAGTATTTCCAATAGAAATTTAATTTTGAACTATTACAGTGCATAAAGCAATAGAAAGTGGCTAATCCTTTTTGAGGGCCTTAGCTCTAATAGAAAGATGATCTTAAAATGCATTACACTTATAATCTTACTAGACTGCATTTTCTCCGGGAGTTCTTTTACTGATTTTTTTAATATTAATAATTACGAGTTTGTGGCTGTTGAAAAGAATTGACTTGAATGTTGAAAGAATCTTTTACAGTATTTCACCCAGACAAAGTGAATTTTGTGTAAAGCTGAAACAATGCTACTAGGCACACATAAATTAACAAAATCACAGAATGCCAGGGGTTGGAAGGGATCTCTGGAGAACATCTAGTCCAAACCCACTGCTAAAGCAGGTTAGCCTACAGCAGGTCATGCAGGACTGCATCCAGGCAGGTTCTGAATGTCTCCAGGGAAGGAGACTCCACAACCCCCCTGGGCAGCCTGTTCCAGCTCTGACACTCTCAGAGTAAAGAAGTTTGTCCTCATGTTGAGGCGGAACTTCCTGTGCTCCAGTTTGTGCCTGTTGCCCTTTGTCCTGTCACTGCGCAGCACTGAAAAGAGCCTGGCCCTGTCCTCTTGACACCCACCTTCTTAGATATTTCACAGAATCACAGAATGTCAGGGGTTGGAATGGCCCTTCAAAGACCATCTAGCCCAACCCCCCTGCCAGAGCAGGACCACCTAGAGCAGATCACACAGGAACGCATCCAGGTGGGTTTTGAATGTCTCCAGAGAAGGAGACTCCACAACCTCTCTGGGCAGCCTGTTCCAGTGCTCTATCACCCCCACAGTGAAAAAGGTTTTCCTTATGCTAATGTGGAACCTCCTGTGCTCCAGCTTGCACCCGTTGGCCCTTGTCCTGTCATTGGCCGTCACCGAGAAGAGCCCGGCTCCATCCTTCTGGCACTCTACGTATTGATAAACATTAATGAGGTCACCCCTCAGTCTCCTCCAAGCTAAAGAGCCCCAGCTCCCTCAGCCTTTCATCACAAGGGAGATGTTCCAGCCCCTTAACCATCTCTGTGGCTCTGCATTGGACTCTTTCAGGCAGTTCCCTGTCCTTCT